AAAGTTGATTAATACCAACCAAAAAAAGCTATATACTTGAAAAAAACTTTAAAATGTTGAGTAAAGATGTACCTACAGACGCATTCCAATTTTAGCTCAACAGGAACACTTAACGACCAGTGCTCATCACACCACTTCAGCAAGTAATCCGATAACATTACAAACCACCACTGTGCACGTCATTACTGTGCACGTAATTAAACTGTAAATCTAAAATGGTCAAAATTATAGTACTCAAGACAGCTTAATAGGTATAACCGCATGCAACATCACCGCGAGCTCTCGGGTTGATCCTCGACCCACTCCATTACATCCAGCCATCTCTCGGGATCCAACTGCATGGGATCGAAGGTGGAATTATCTTCAGGAATCATTGCAGCACCTTGAATTTCACCTTTTGATTTCAGCTTCCTATCATCGTGGACCTTCTGATGCCTGTTCCGTTTTGAAGACTGTGCAAATGTCTTCCCACACACAGGACACAGGAATGGCTTCTTGCCCGTGTGTGTTCTCTGATGAGTTTGAAGAGTTGATGAGTCTGCAAATGTCTTGCCACACACAGGGCACAGGAATGGCTTCTCGCCCGTGTGTGTTCTCTGATGTGCTAGAAGATGTGATGACCGTGCAAATGTCTTCCCACACACAGGGCACATGAATGGCTTCTCGCCCGTGTGTGTTCTCTGGTGTCTCTGAAGATCTGATGGCCATGAAAAGGACTTCCCACACACAGAGCAATTGAATGGCTTCTTGCCTCCGTGTGCGTGGGGCTGTGGAGAGCGTCTCTGCTCCATGTGAGCGGAGTAACAGCAGCGGTGTTATCGAGTCAAAAGTACACTATCGGCCGCAATGATTTTTAGCGTTAAGTTTTGGATTTTGGTTAACTGCTAAAACAAGAACGACACTCGCGTCTAACCGAGACGCAAAAAAATCCCGCTAATTGACAACGAACACGTTTAAGAGTTTATCCGCGAAAATAGACACTTACTTGGATATTTACGGTATATCGGTGTCTGAAACCCGTCTGAAGATGTCGCCACGAACTCTCCCGACCCAAAGTCGCCTAACTGTCGACTCAGCAATTGTGCTCGCCAGGCTGCGTTGTCTCGCGGTTGAAGGGCGATCAGCAGAGCGACGAGTCGAGCGTCCAACCTCATCAAGTTCCCTCTCGAAATGGCATTGAGCTC